TGATCAATTTCGATGTGGAACCTCCGGCCGAGTAAATAAGGTCTCCATTTGTCGATTGCCCATACCACTGCTAAACATTCTTTATCGTTGAATACTTTCGCTCTGTGTGTCAAAAGCCGACAGGCATACTCAAGGATTCCCCTCACCCTGTCCTAGGACCGCACCGTAGTCACTGGCATCTGCGCCCACTGTGAACTGTCTTTCAGGTACAGGTAGTTTTAGTGTCATTTGTTGGTGGTCGAGTAGCTGTTTAATTCTGTTAAATGTCCTCTGCGATTCCTCCGACCAAACAAACTTCGGCTCACCTAGTAGCCTGTATAGAGGGGCTGCTATCTCATTGAAGTTCTTCACGAAGCGACTATAAAACGCTGCTCTACCCAAGAATTGTCTCAGTTTTCTCTTTGAATTCGGGGCTGGAATCGTTTTAATCGTCAAAATTTTCTCCGGCAGTGGTTTAATCTCACCATTTCCCACTTTATGTCCCAACAGAGTAACATTCTTTTTGGCTATCTGAGACTTGGTTTTGTTGACGCGTAGTCCAAACTCTTCGATGCGTCGCAGCACGGCTTCTACATGGTTGACGTGATCGTTTTCGTTTTGACTGTATATGACGAGATCATCACCATAAACCTCCACGTTTTTCAAGTTCTTAAGTAATAGCTTCATCAGTCGTCTGAACGTAAACGGTGCACCTGCTAGTCCAAACGGCATGCGTTTAAATCGATATTGTGTCTGACCCACGATGAAAGCCGTCTTATCTCTATCACCTTGTTTTATCGGTATCTGCCAGTATCCTGAGCGAAGATCGAGAACCGAAAACACATTCGCACCTTGTAGGCGATCTAAAGTTTCTACCACTGTTGGCATGGCACACGGTCTTAACTCTGTCATACTGTTTAACTGTCGAAAATCAACACAGAATCTATACTTCCCATTCGCTTTTTTTACTAACAGCACTGGAGAGTTGTACGGGCTATCAGCTTCCTCAATAATATCATCTTTTAACATCTCTTGCACTTGTCGCTCCACTTCGCCTTCCAGATGACATGGAACTCTTCGCGTTGTAAATGACCTTACTTTCGGATCACTTAACGGAATTTCATGATTCACCTTATCGCAATAACCGTATGGGTCGCCATCTCCAGTGAACAGATGATCGTATTTATTAATTAACTCTGTCACATTGTGTACCGTCGACAGCTTAATCGCTGCTATCTCGCTGGTCTCATACATGTTGATATGCCCGTATTTCGTGATCACCACGTTCGCTTGCGTGTCGATTATGCACCAATCTCACGCAGAAAATCCGCTCCTAATATCGTTCGCTGTAGTTCGGGTACAACAATGAAAGGAAACGTCACCTCGCAGCCACCAACAACGACCGTACAGTTCGATCTACCCGTGATACGCAACACATACCCGCCTACTGTTTGTACTGTCAATGAACACGGACTAACACTCTTACATAAATTCTTATCTATTAACGACACGGCCGCCCCTGTATCTACTAAACATACTACTTCTCGATCATTCACTCGCAACTTCGAATACACAGCTCCTTTCTCAATGGCCCCTACTACATCTAGTTTTATAAGAGAGAAAGAACAAGCATTATACCGCCTGAAAATTTTTCTTTTTCGCCTTTTTAGGCAGTATCTCCTCCAGTGTCCCAGCTTACCGCAATCAAAACATCGGTTTTTCCTGTCACCCAACTTTAACGCCGCCACTTCCCTCTGCAACGCTTCAATTTCCTGCTCGTATTCGTTTGGTTGCTCTATAGCGGCTACAGTTGTGCTCAGCAGCTGTCTGATCACCTTCGCCCTGCTCACTAATATCCATCGGCTGTGCTGCGTTAACCAGTTGTAATCGCTGAGAAATGTGGTCTGGAACGCTCGATGAACTGGGAAGACAGTAACTGCGCTTCTGATTCTTCATCCAAAGTGGGAAGCGCACGTCGAAGTAGATTCGTCAATTTCACCGCCAACACTAACGGGTCTCCATCAGGTCTCAGCTTCGTTGAACGGAACTGCCGCATTCCTAGCTGTCTGTTGCTCTGTCGAACTCCGACACCAATCGTTCAAACAATGTCTTCCAAGACGCTGTGCCATCTGACCTGTCCCATTCAGGGAGGTGTAGGTAGGTTAAGAATCGCTGTATGCCAAGTAAACTGTTCCTCAAAGTGTTGTTTCCACCGTTCCAGTCGTCTATCCTGAGAGCAATTTGTGGTACCATTTGTCTCGGAGATTGCTTCACTTATCGTTTGCCTTTTACCACCTGTTTCCCTGATAAGTCGAAAGAGTTGTCTGGTGTTACCAATAGCCAATGCCTTTTCCATCTCCTTTGCTTTTTCGCCCATCACTGTTCACGGTCATTGAGAAGACTTCTTTTGAGTTTGCTTTTGAGCAGCTTTCCCTCATCATCATATTCGGACCTCTCCAGAATCAGTCTTCTTGCCTTAATCAGTTCGGATGAGGTAGTAGAAATCCACTGGTGCTTACTAACTTTTCGTTTTAGGTTATTAACAGCTTTTACAGCTGCGTCTACAGCTAAATGTATATTGTGACAGGCCTCCTTAGGGGAAGTCCCGATGTCGACTGCAGGTACACGTTTCACTATTTCCTCCTTAAATAGGAACTCAGTGTCTCGATCTAGTTGGGTACGTAACTGTTTCGCTGCCAGCAACTTCTTATGTCCATTTAGTCGTAAGCATAAACGTGCACGGACCGGAGCGTGATCGAAGTCTACTCACGTGTTGCAGAAGGAACAGCATTCTTCTACTGACCCTCACCAACGATACCCTATTGCTATGTGATCTATCTGAGTCCAGCGTTGATTTCGTTTTTTCGCCTGTAAGTCTTCGAGTTTGTGTGACATTAGACATAAATCATCCACGCGCGAAATCCAGATCTTCTAGATTCTTCTTATCGGTGGTCCAACGTATTTCTGACTTCCCACTCCTAAGCACGGACTGACGCATAATCCAGTTCACCACAATTAAGAATATCATCGTGGGTGATAATAGACAGGCTGCGTTGTCTTACTATTGTATGCACTTCGAACGCCTAGCTAAGTCTCCGTTGTGGATCACCTGACTAACAAGTATAAACTTCTAGCCTCACGCTGCATAATCGACGGTCCAGTCGAGTAATGAAGCTTCAATTCTAGCACTTAGTGTGACAAAAACATCAGTCACGCTGGATGCCACAGATGGTAGACACAATCTGATCATCCAGATGGAAGAGATATCCGATATTCTAGAAGATAAGCAGTAAAAGATTTAGAATGCAGCAGACATATTCAGCGAGGATTTCTGATATTCTGGCCAGACCTGTTTGTTACCTGGTTCGCATCAGTTTGCGAAAACTGCACCTGTACTCTTGAAAGCGACATGTGGTTTCCGGATATCCACATTAGATATCGCACTGGAGACCAGAACTGTGAAAGCTAATCACTAACAACGCCAAACGGTAGAGATGGGATGAGCTTTCAAACAAACGTGAAAAGCTGACAGAGGTGAAGATACCAAGTATACTAAAGCTGGTAAAAATAAAACACAAAGACCTATGTATTAAAAGAAAGTCAGAAAGGATCATGTTGCTGAAAATATGCTCGAAGTCTGTAATAGTAAGTGAGCAATTATAATGTCTCATGAACTTATTGTTTCATAGCTTGTGTTAAGGCTGGAATACTCCACGTGTGTCGAAACCGAAGCACGTGGTTGTCTTAGGAAACCACCGTCAAACTTTTGACGTGACCTACGAGAAAGTAAAGCAGCGTTCCGCGGTTGCCGGTGGTCAAAACAGGTCCATACGCCATCTTATCCTTTAGGATCCTGGAGCCCTTGTACACCATAGTTCTGAAATCACGGTTTTCCAACTCTTCTAGATAGACGTGCATGTTCACCAGTCCGGTCGTAAGCACCACACGTTTGCATTCGCCCTTTCACTTTTGTGAGGAACAACCCTGCCGTGGGAAGGTAATGAATAGGACTTGACTGATAGGGAATATGAACGCGTGATAACATGAGAGAATTCCGAGAGGGAGACCGAAGTCTACTCACTCTTCATCGTACCAGTTGATTTATGGGGTTCATAATGTATCACATCATGATAAAGATAATATGAATCTAATTTAACTATGACCTGCTTCTATGATACATTTTTAATGTAACAAGGAAAAAACATTCTCTAGAGTTGTGCCTAATGGAGAACCAATAGGAACATTATAGATTCATCTCTACAAGATATCATTGAATGCGCACCGTACTCAAGTAAAGTGGCTTCTGAGAGGAGGAATTAATTTTTGTTCAGCTTAGAATGATCTGTGGACAGTGGGATATGCCGATCGCACAACCTGACCAAAATCTAGTATTTTTATTATTTGATTAAAGTGAAGCTATATTTCTTTATTTAAACTAATACTATGCCTTCGCGATTATTCAACCACCTGACTAATTAATAATGTAACTGGGAACAAAGTATAGTCACACAGCGTCGAGCGGACACGATTTCCTTTGTATCCAACAGTAAATTCCCAAGTACACAAGCAGATCTAAATACAACGAATTACACACTTCCAGAAATTTAATCACGATAAAAAAAGTAAGCATACTGATCATGATACTGAATTATTTATTTTAATAAAAAATAAAAACCTAGACTTCATCATGGCAGACATGCAGTTGACTAAACACATACTCAGTGGTTAGTTAAATCAGTTGTGGACAATTAGGTCACGACAAAATTTAACTGCTTCTAAACTGGTTGGAAAGAAATTACCCTCAAACAAAAGTACACATATTTGAACAGACGGTACTGAACTCGTTGGAGACCTTACAAACAGCTCATCACATACTGAAAGGCATTCACTACTCAAAAATATTTGAAAGGCACAGTATTTAATATTCATATTTACATAATTAAAAGAAGTTGTAGATGGTAAACCACTGCAATCCTAGTTATAACAGGATATTAGTTCTCGGTATCAGATTGTGAAAGTGGTTAAGGTGAAACAGAAATCTCAATATGATTGTGATAGGCTCCGGAAGAAACATTCTGTTTATTCTGCAAAACTACCATAGAATTATTATTATTATTATTAGGATGACTGGCATTTCTGTAGGCTGGTTGTTCATCTTCACAAAACTGTTCTAAACGAGCATGAATTGTTGCAAATGATGGCCGTTTATTTTCATCAGCTGCCCAACATTCTAGCATAAGATCATACAATTCAGGTGGACAACCTGGTGGCTTAGACATACGGTAACCGGCATCCACTTGTCTAAGCACTTCTGCATTGTGCATTCCTGGATACGGAGAACGACCATATGTAACTATTTCAGTCAGCAAAATCCCGAAAGACCATACATCAGATTTTATTGTAAAACGCGAATAATTAGCTGCCTCCGGTGATGTCCATTTTATAGGAAATCTAGCTCCTGCATGTGCTACATATTCTCTATTCTATAACAGAAAAATAATTCAACAACATTAAAATTAGTTCATATATGTATAATCGTCTGAAATTGAAAAAGGCGCATTAACAACAAAACGGCAAACCATGTTATTTTCTACTGAATATAAAGGTCTATCATCTTATTTAATAGTATGTCTATGCAAAATTACACAGTATAATAGTAGGCAAGACGTAGACTGACAAAAACAGTTATACGTCATGTTATATATAGTAAAATGTTCAGTTTTAAAATTAATAGAGATTAAATGCCCATGAAATGCTACCTTTAATCTTAGCAGACCTTGTAACAACCGCTAGTAAAATTGTCACAAAATATATATAACGGTAGTAGAAATAAGGAAACACTACACACATGCTTCGTTATAACTTATGAAATAAAGTTGAAAGCTATTATTCTATCAGAGTCAGTTGAATATTGTATAATGTGATTTCCTGGTCTGCAGTAAGTAGGATATGGTTACGTTTTCGTATTTAATTGCACGGGTATAAATTCAATTCAAAATGATTCCAATTTTCTCTGAAGAAACACAAGGAGAAAGATGTGAATAAATAGGGTGTTCAGTATCCAATAGCATAATCTCAGCCGACTGCTTGCACGATTTCAAAGGCCAGCAAGCAACAGTATTACTCGGTTGGGTTAGGAGTACACTAATCCTGTTTACAACTTTCTGTCTCTGTTTAGACAGAGAAAAATACAAGAAACTATAAATTGGAAAATAGGTTCGACAATGCCAAAATGAGTAGTACATAGCAAAGCAGCAAGACAAGAGATGATCGAAAAAGGAACTTGTGCTTAAACCTGCTATGTTCGCTTTATTTTATATAACAGCACCAGTGATATTACAAGACCCAACGGATACTGTGGCGGTTCCTACCGAAAAATTACGAAAAACGTCTAATTGTAAGATGAGCGAGTGTAAATAATATGATTTGTTATATACATATATATATATATATACTGAGATTTTGTAAATTCCGGTTTAATAATTCTTTGATAAAGCTATTAGCATTAAATAGCGAAACGCCAGTAAAAACAATATCGTTTTGTTTTCCATTCATTGGGAAATACAAAACCTTTATTATGAAGACTAATTTACTTCGAGCAGAGTGTTTTTTTAATCCTACAGCTCAATTTCACTAGATCATTCGATGTTGCTGAACATTCTGCTAGGCGAGATTTTTTGAAAGAATGTATTCAGACTAACATATACATATATATCCTCGGACATTTTACAAATTTAAGTGAATAAAACACAATCAGAAGTAATTCGAAACAAAGAAGGTATTTTTCCAGCCCCAAGTTCAAACAGACCAACAATAACAACAATTATAATTAACTTCATTCCTTTGACACCTACACACATATACAACTGATTATGTTTCGAATATACGATTATGAACACAATAATTCGGGGAAAAATATTTGTAATTGATTGAGTGAAACTTCAAGGTTTTATGTCGAATCAATAAACTCCATAAAGGCTAAGACTTATCATGCTGGTTACCTATTTGCTTACAAAGAAATTAGCTTACAGTAGTCTAGAAACCGAAACAGCAACATACTCATATTTCAAGGCTACTAGACATGTATTGCATACAATCAAGTTCATCAAAACTCCTACTTTTCTTTTTCGTTTTCTCAAATTACCATAGCATTATATATATATATATGTCAGCATTATTTGTGAGAAATACACATATACCTTCATAAATGGTTTATTACACGCAGAGTTTCTTAAACAATTTTGAACTTTTATTCCGTTAGAAGTCAATGTGTGCTGAAAGCTAGCTGCAAACCGAAACTGTAGGCAATAATTTACGTCAACGTTTACGTCTCGAATTGTTGCCTGACTCTTGTCTTCTGGTGGTTACAAATGTAAAAAGGTTCTGCTGGAACACTGACTAAGGGCAGACAAGCTTCATCAAGTTGTGCACTTGAATGAGGGAATATAGCATTTACAGCCTTGAAAACAACATAGAATGTACACATTAAAAAAAATACTTGACAACGAATCAGAATGCACAGTCAATGTGCAGTGTACTTAGAACAAAAATAGTAGTACCAGTTTGTTATTATTCTAAATACGTACGAATTAAAGAAACTGGCGACAGTTTTGTCTGAAAACAAAATATAAAGGTGAGGAAATAATTGATTCGACAAAGCTCATTGGAATACAAAAGTGGGATGTCAGCCACACAAATTTTTGCAATGCTTTTCATTTATACGCATAAGTGTTTTTTAAACCCTGTGGTACACGTGGGAGTTGCTTATCGATGATGAACATATTCTAATAAAAATATTTCGGTACGCATTTTTACTACTTATAAGTAGGCAAGCGAACAAGGATAGAAAATTCGAGTCATGATGCCTTATTTTTTCTGTTACATCAGAGATGTATAAACAAAATTAGCGAGAAATAAGTTTGTTTAGTCTCTGGAGGAAGCAATTTTCCACTGGAATAACTAACAACGAAATGGATATCATAAGGGATCCTAATCTTTGTGCTATTTCCCACCGTACAAGAAATGACATTAACTTCAGGTACATCAAAATTAGAACCGCCTCATTAATCAGCATAACTGTCTTCACATCACATAACTTTTTTCGTGTATTACCCACTTTATCAGGAAATACAAATGTAGGATGAAATCGCTAAAACTGCCCATCAAATTGCTAGTACCTCAGAGTGTGAAATGAAACTGAATTCCAACGTTTTAGATCCCTATATTTAAGTGAGTAGTTAATGTAGAGCGAACAAACAATTTCAATAAATTCAGCGAAAATTCAGTAGAAGTAGGGATGAAAACTTTAGTAGTAGAGTTTTACAAAGACAGTATTAGTAGTACCAGTATGGTGAAAGTTGGCTGCTAGCCAAATTGGTAGACAGCAATTTACGTCAATGCTTGTGTCCCAAATATTGGTCATGTGAAAACAAGAACAAAGACTGACTCAACAACCAATCACAGCAGACTTTGCGTAGACTGATACAATTAGCAGATAGATGATCTGACATTCAAGAAACAGCCAGAGGATATGAAAGATTAACTTTCTGTGAGAAACAACCAATCAGAAGAGTTTGTTTGTTTCCTTAAATAATGTACAATAATAATGTGCATGAAAATATGTAAATACGTGTTGATTTCCTAAAAAAGCGATCTCCTGGCTGGCCCTTGTCTTCTTTTGTTACAGCAGCAGAAGTACAGAAACCTGCTGCACAGTGTTTACTACGAGAAACCACACATTGACCGAAAACCTCTCTTTGAATGAGCTTGCCAGTGAATGAGAAACTAAAGAGCCGTTTAGTTCGTCACTGTCGATTGGAATCTGCAATTCAGACTGACAAAGTGATACAATATTGATGTTATATTGTGACTGAAGTCATGAGTCAATCAGAAGCCGCATCAATGAGCTTTTGTTACTGCTAACACCTACCAGTATACACAACCATCAAGGAATTCATTTCTGTAGGAAAGGTGGTTCTCACCAAATGTTGCATAAATGCTTTAATAATGCAAACTAAAAAGTATGCACGAGATGTCAAGTAGGGTTCCTACCCAGTCGACTCCTATAATACCAATAAAATAGCCAGCATATTGTAGGTGTATCAAAAGAAACTTTTAGGTAAAAACAGGCTTAATACTACTGCGTTTCCTCACAGTAGGAAATTATATCCTTTTGCAACAGCAGAAGGCAAGACACGGAAGCAAAGGCCTATTTTACAGTGATCAAACAGCTATTTAAAAAATATATATATAGTGTATATTCTTTAACCGAGCGTGTGATTTCGGTTTACATTAAACCAAATACATATGGCATTCTGTCGCTAATGCAGTATTGAGCGGTAGGAATAATATTCAGACGATGACACCAACAGATACAATGATTCCTACTACGAGAATAATATTCCGTTGGAACCCCTTGTCTGCATCACACCATCACACTAGTATAACGAATAAAAAGTTATGTATTAAAAGAAACCGAACTCCACCATATATTTCTCATCGGTGAAACAGAAATGCGCAAATCCTATATCATGTATCCAAGCCTATAGGATACATTATTATTATTATCGATAGTAAAATAATGCAGTCCGTTTATAATAGACGACCCAAACCCACCGCGGCATTGACATCATATTAAACCCTATGTCGTTTCCTTTAGAGACATTTTTAATCCATCCTTCCGTCTTATTCAATAGTTATATGAATAAAATTCTTCCAAAAGTTGTTTACCTACATGGTGAATATGATTTTGAAAAAAAAAACCAATTGATGTTATATAGACTGACAATGGGGATTAGGTTGAAATTCAACCTGTTACATTTATTGTACAAGATGATCCCCCAATACGCAGCTAATCTACACATACCGACTCTATCAATTTACAAGATACATTGACTTTAAATAGTTGACACATGTTTTCGATATTGACGCTAAATGTAGGTTGGCTTAAAGAAGATGGCAACGCATTTTGCCCCAAAAAACAATTTCCGTTAGCTTCAAAGTGAATTTACAATTTTTGTTCATTGCTCTTAAGCTGTGGATAGCTAGCTGTCTTGGTAATAATCATCAATAATAAAATAAATATTTACAACATCAACATAAACATCTCTGAGTGTAAAATTTTAGATTATTCTTAGAAATGAACTTTCGATATTAGTTTGTTTATTAGATATATCACACAGCAATGAAACAGTATTATTTACTGGATGACGTTTCAAACAAAATTTATTGTTCATAATCATATCGATTGTAATCACACAACTTTGAAACTTGAGTTTTATAGTTTTCTTTGTCCTTTCCTATTTGTCATCATTGGAGTAGTGGAATTTTCCAGAGACCTGGGAAAGGTGTGAAATCATTCCAATTACACGTATTCTCTCAGTTGATTCGATAAACAAAGCTTCTGCTATCAATCTCTCCCTCCACTCTGTGACATTAGATTTTAAAACTGTCATCCTATCCCATCCTATTGTATGGTTGTATG